TTCTTTTGACAAAAGGATGAAGTCTCTATCTGTCAGGGAAGCCGAGATATTGCAAAATAAAAAAGGTCTTCAACTTTTGAACAGCACTTTTTATATAAAAATTAACCCGGTCCTGAAAGGGTTAAGACTGTCTTACCTCTCTTCTAACTGTTAAACTAAACATTCAAAAATTCTTTTTCACTCTTTATTCTTTTTTTGGCAGCATTTAATGGGGCTATCCCCCGATTTGAATTGAAAATTACTTGTTTATAAAAAATAGTGAACTGCCTCTTATTTTCAATAAAATAAAGTTCTTAAAATCGATCAAACGTTTTTCATTCTTAACGTTTTCTTTTGTATTTCAAACATATCCATATTTCTAGAAGAAAATTAGTTCCATAATTTTTTCATAGTTTTTTTGGAAGGAAAACTACCTAGTTTTTCTCCCTGAATAAAAACTTTGATCGTGCTTAAACGAATAAGAAATCGATACCTTTCAAAATTTTACCGTCGTTACATCCGACAGAAAAATTCACCGAAAGAACACTCAAGAGGAAATTTTCCAAAATAATGCTTTTATCTCTGGTCTACACGACACTATCTAGTATTTATGATAACGTTATAGTCTGGTAAGTCACGTGTCGTGAGTGGTTTAACTTCAGGGCTGACGTTACTGTAGGTGTGTGGGAGGATGTGACACCCCCTCAAAAACTAAAAATCCGTGATTTTTCCTAGCAGAAAAAGAAAATTTCTTGCGTTCTTTGAAAAAATAAATTCTTGTCTGAGTGAAGTACCTCCCCAAAGTCTGACTGGTCATGACAGTCTTGTTTAAGTTAGCACTCTCTCTCGAAGCGGCGGGATCTGGATTTTTCAGAACTTTTCATGAAAATTGAATATCTCAGCATCGGCACAATTTTAGGATCTGCGATTTAGGTCAAAATTCATCAAAATGGTTGCTCTAAGGGAGTCTCCTGCTTTAAACGAAGTCTGATGTGGTCAATTGAGCACGTGAGGCGGTGGTTTAACTTCAATGCCTCTTAAATGTTGTATCCACTTGTAATAAAGACAATAAATTATTAACAGAAATTTATTGATGCGTAGGGATGACACAGGCTTACAAATACGACTAAGATTGTTATGGAGCATGTAAAAAGCTTTTCACATCGTAGCCATAGGGATAAGGCATGTTCAGTTCTCGGCTCCTGTGAAGAACCGGAGCCGCGATTCTCTTATTTTCAGTTCTTTAGCTGGAATCGGAACCACGGTTTCTTAGACGGTTCCTTTTCTTCGGAACCGAGACTGTTCGGCTTGGTTTTCTTTTAACAAAATGAAAACACACCATTGACAAAGCTGCAAAAAGATATATTTGTGTGTCATCTTTTAAAAGAATTCTTTCGTTTACCATAAAATCAATTCGATTTTGTTGAATTGTTACTGCCTGAAACATTATTTTCTGGTTCTAAGCTGAGAACCGCAATTTCTTTTGTTTCGGTTCCATATGAGGAACTGGAACCGCGATTCTGGATTCCGAAACCGAAAACTGAATATCCTTAATAAGGATAAGCATTTTACGGAGGGAAATGAAATGATGTCGTTCTTTTCGAGTACCGTAAACGTTGCGGTAAAAGAAATCTTTTGAATAATAAATATTCACAACAGTAAAGTTCAATCAAATATGAAATGTAAGACATTTTGTATATTCAAACGATAATGCAGACAGAGGTTTTTTGATGAATGTGATTTGTAACATTCGGTAATTGAGTACTATGTTCTCTAACTGGCTGTCGAAAAAGATGATTTCTTACTTTATCTCTAAACGTTATTCTTTGCCGTGGTGGTAGTGAGGACGTATGTATTATAGGTTCAACAGGTATATACCGTTTTAGTTTACCAAGAAAGATGTAGTAGCTGTTGACAGGTAATTGAACACCGTAAGGTTGCTGGTATAACTGAGTACATAATGACTGGTAGGATGTCTCTTCAAAACCATTTTCATAATTGTTGTAGAATTCTATCAATGCTTGTCCATCCATATTCTCAAAAAGGGGTTTCATAATATGAAGAGGTTCATCTTTGAAAAAATTAGAGACATCCTCTTTTGTCCAACATTCAATATTTTTATCAGTGTAAGAAGTAAAAGATCTTTCCGTGATTTGCTGTTCAACATTCACACTTGAATTTGTAGCAATATTTAATGTAAATAATTCTTTTTGTTGATGATGTTGAATTTCGTCTAATAATTTTGTAAAAGCATCATCGAAGGATGTTTTCGTAAAATCGATATAGATCTTGCCCGAGATCAAAATACCCAGCCAGCCATCTGCTTTAAATTTTGTCTTTACTTTCAATGGTATTAAATGACGTTTTAACTGCCAAGCATAATTTGCCTCTTGTTCACAGCTTGGACTTTCTACGTATGCATCAGACATACAGAGAAGAACAATTTCTGAATTTTCTACTGCCGAACTCATTGATTGTAAAACTCCGACATGCATATTCTGTTTATCTATCCATACCCGAAAGTTGTGTTTAATTAATTGATCATATATTTGATGACACAATTGTTGATCTTTATGAGAGTAGCTAATCATTATATCGTTCACATAGGATCGTTTAGAATTCCGAACTACGGTAGTGTTAGTAGTAGCAAATGATTTATCTCCTTCTCCTATGTATACACTTGTCTCCTCGACTTGTTGACGATATAACACCGATTTACTTGGTGGTCTCCGAGCAGCGTTACGTTCAGTGTTTGGCACAAAATCTGATATTGTATTTGCCTCTGTTGACGCTATATTGATCAGATCTTCATGTCGTTTTGGTTGTCGTCGCTGAAAAAATTGTTTAACAGCCATGACATTAGCAGTCGACCAGTCTTTTGATGATTTTCTTAACTCGTCTTTTCCCAGATTTGTACAGATCAATCGAGCCATTTTGCGAATTATGTCATCGTCATATGACGACGTTATTAATGATTTTAATTGTGCCACAAATGTATCATTTTGCATCAGTATTTGAGCTGCTTGTTGATTAGTAGTAATTATTTTAGATAAGATGTCAAGAGATATTCGTAAAATCAATGGATTATCTTCATTGATACACATAGCTAATACTGTTAAACCATTTTGTTCTACAAGTTCCTGTTCGATAACCTTATGTTGTATAAGTTCTAAGCAAATTGAAAGCAATACAGATTGCCTTAGAAATAGGACAGAAACAAAATTAAGGGCCACCATCTCAGAAATGGTGATTTTTGGTCAAAAAATCGGTTTTGCGATACGCACATTGAAAGATAGTCTGAAGTGTCTATTTTCAGAATCTGTACCACTTTCGGTTATAGAAGTAATTTTTCGCGGCTTTCAGGCAAGTTTTCTAAGAGCCTCGAAAACCGAATCTCCAAAATAATAGCTTTTTGTTGGGTAATTATGCAATTAACTTTTTTTCTCAACTCATAGATTTGTAGAGCCAACGTTTCTGATCAAAATAAGACCCCGCACAAAACGTTTGTGTCAAAACGTTACAGGCATTTTCCTAGATGTTCTAAAATTGAGCATTTTATACAGTGTTTAATACAGCGTTTTCTCTGCATGAGAGTTACACTTGAAGCATTTCCTAAGACTTTTAATAGCAGTTTGTCGTAGAGAGCTCATTTCGTTTAGCTTAAAAGAGGAAGAGAACCTACATGGGCTGACCGGAGCCGGTTTTTAAATTAGGTCTTAGTTTTTTGTCAGACTGAGAGTGTTTAGAAAAACAGAAGGAATTTTCGAGTTTGGAGGTTGTTGGTTGCGTGGAAAACCAATAAAGGCTTAATTGAAAAATCGGTGCCGGTTAGTCCATGTAGCTAGGTGTCTAGTTTAAAATAAAATTAACTCGAACTATTCAGCTTGAAGTATATTAAAAAAACTTCAGGATCCTTTTTGGATCTTGATGTTGGAAAACTTCTGAACCGTAAGACTTGAAGACAAAAAGATTTTTTATTGCTGTAACTCATTAAACCTAACATTTAAGAAAACTTCGGTCAAAATCGGATGTACGATGTCGAAGATAATTTCTGAGAGGGAGGGACCTTTAGTATACTGACCTTTCAAAGTTAATAATAATGAGCTAATAAACTCATTTGATTTACACTCTTGGTTGAGTGCTTCTTGTAACGGATCAATAAAGAATGTTTTTAGTTTGTTTGAATGAACCAATGTTTCATTAAGATTTTTGTCGTCCATTATATTTGCTAATATGCGGTACGCAGCAAATTGTATATGATGATTTTTTAAATTTGTTAATTTAATAATACTTTGTATTGACTTTTTATCTTTTACTATTGTTAGAATTTTTTCTTCATGTATTAAATTTAATAAAACATGAATAGATGATAAGATTAGTTCTTTTTCTGGATTATCTGTTAATCTAATTTTCAATAAATTGGGCTCACTCAGTATATTCATTATATGAATGATGATTTTTGAAAATCTTTCACAAATAAGTAATCTACAAGATTCAAATTTAATTGCAACATTTAATATATCGATGATATATTTTAGAGCTAACATATGTTTTTGTTTCCAACATTTTGCATATGGTACGAATATATCAAATAGTACGTTATACTGTTCAATCATTCTATTCAACATTGAATAATATAATGTTTCCTGTTGTTTTCCTACATAGCCAATTAGATATAAAGGACATGTTACAAACAAAAATTTTTCGTTTTTTGTAAATTCTGTTTCATCCATTTTAATTTGTTTAAATGTGATTAAATAATCATCTGATGTTAGACATTTTATCACCGATCCTAATAGAATCATTAAATTTGGTTCATCGGTAATATCTTCTCTACCACTTTGAAATAGCTGAAATGCATCAATCAACAATCCAAGACTCGGTAGAGTCGAATCACCGTACATGTAATAATCATCTGCTGATACATCCTCAATGCAATAGTTTAAAAGGGTCATAAATGTTTTGTTCAATAACCATGTTTTTAATGCATATACTTTTTCATCATTTTTACTTGCTGCTCTAATTATTTTTGTTAAGAGTCTTGTAACACTTTGAAATGGTTCTTTGTTTTGTGTATTCAATTTCTTTTCATCATGCAACAATTTTAATAGATTGGATAAGTATAATTGAAAATAAATGTATAAACCATGATTTAGTATTATTGTATCCGTTAACAAATTATCTGATCTTTTAATTAAACTATCACTCATCAAGTGAATAAAATATATTCGACTACTTTCTTGAGTACATTTGTTTAATCCTTTGAGAAAAATATCATAAACCAATTGGATTGATTCTTCGGTCAAACTTTCGATTTCAATAAGAATACGTTGATATGACAAATTATTATTACTATCCATTATGCAAGGCTTTATTATTATTCATCACACATGGGTATGGAAGAAAAATCAGCAGACAAGGATAGAGTTAAATTTTTAAAAATGAAAAATAAAATAGCCCAAAAGAATATAAACAATTTCTCTTAAATGTCAACATTCTTTTTACATTAGAAAGAAACGTAAAAGTGCTGCAATAAATTTTGATCATGGATTTGTTCACGTAACCCAGTCAATAAACGTCAGTCCGTTACGTTTTGAAATAAGTTAATTATAGCTCCGCAACGAAGTAACGTAATAGCCTGGACAGTTTCTTATTTTGTAAAATAAACTGTCGTCTTTGATATGACAGTCAAGCAAACTCTCATGAGCATTTATTTCAAAAGCTATAGCTCCATAAGTAAGTGACTCAAAAGTCACTTTTTACCTGATTTTTGGTAACTTATTTCTATTTATAGTGGCGTCTCACAGTGGACATTTAGGCGACATTTTGGTGAAAAATAGCAGGTTCGAATTTTCATATTTTGAATGATGCCATATATATGTCGGAGTTGAGATTGGAATCTAGAGGAATTCGGAATTCACCTAGGTGAGAATAGAATTCTAATTTCAACTGATTGAGATTGGAATTCTAACGTCAACTAGTTGTGATACGAATGGTGC